GCTCCGCACTGGACCGGTCATTGTTTGAGAGACGGCGGAAGTCTCAAGGGCAGGCGGAAGTGGGAAATGTCTCTATGGGGCTAAGTCCAGAATCTGAGACAGGACCTCGTTGACTCGGCACAAGTCAAAGCAGCTCGAGAAGCTACGCTTCTACAGCGCCGCCGGATCCATCTCACCAGAGACTTCCTGAAAGATGTCCCGACTCAACTGAGCTTCGACTCCAGCAAGAGGGGAATCAGAAGACCTGCAAGTCTCCAGAATCGAAACAAATTCTAATCCTTCGGGGAGGAAGAAGTGGTAGGTAGGAAGAGGAACGGTGAGGGAGAAGGCAATGCGGTAATCTTGACTGGAATGGTGATAATGATGATGATGATGATGCTGCTGCTGATGATGATGATGATGATGATGATGACTGAAAACGCGGGGAACCAAAGCCCGCAAATTTGTTGGCGCATTCCCCTTCGTCACCTCACATCCTCATCCCATCTCATCTCATCACATACCTCACCTCCTTTGGTCTCGTCCCTTCTCATCCCATCCTCCTCCTCTCAAATCTCATTCCGTCAGCTCCTCCCATCTCAACTCATCTGATCACCTCTCCTGTGCTGAGCTCTCATCTCATCTGCTCTGCTCTGCTCTACTCTGCTCTGCTCTGCCGTCCTCTCCTCTCGTCTCCTTTCCTCTCATCTCATCTCGTCTCATCTCACCCCATCCCTCTTCTCCTCTTCTCCCATCTCAGCTCATCCCCATCTCCTCTCATCTCATCTCTTATCTCGTCCCCTCTCATCCCCTCATCTCCTCATCTCCGATCTGTCCTATGGCCTCGTCTCAACCCATCTCATCTCCGAATTTATCTCATCTCATCTCATCCCTTCCCTCACCACATCTCGTCTCATCCTATGTCATTCTCTCATCTCCTCTCGTCTCCTCTCTTCCAGTCTCATTCCCTCATCTCCTCATCTCATCCCCATCCCCATCCCATCCTATCCCATCCCATCTCATCTGATCTCATCTCTTCCCGTCTCTTACCCACATCTCCTCTGTATATTCCCATTTCATCATTCATCGAACTGACAATGCTCCAATGACAATTTTAGGATACCTTGATGAGGCTCTGTTGAAGCTTCAAAAAAAAACACCCAAAAATATGCAGTCAATCTAGCCCTCGGGTTTTTTACCAAAACACATTGTAAAAACGCTGAACAATTCAGCCACAGCGGGAATCGAACCCATGACCCCCCGTCTGACTAAAATGATGGACATCCGCCTGAAAGACCAAAAAAGATGAAGCACCGGAGACTGAGGTAGTTCATGCTGTTTATGCTAAATCCTGCTACCTATTGCGATCCAAACCCATTGTTTCATGGATCTCCACGCGGCACTTGGAAATGAAAAACGGAAGTCTGCTGCAACTTGGATTACGTCACCGCCTGCTCTGCCACCAGAAACTTTACCTCGAGGCGAAGTAAACGCCAAATGAAACAGTTAACAATGCCAAAGAAAACCCGAAAACAATGTGAAGGACATGTTTGATCACCACCCTCACGTCACAAAAGATGCGCTGCCAGTCATGTTGGTTTATATTTGATATACGCTGCTCTTTGCTCTGACCAAAATCTGAAGCGCAGTGCACAGCCCTGGCAAACCTCCTCACGTGTTGTTCAATCTCCCGGAGTTCCGCGCATGCCGTGTTGCAGTCTGGATTCAATCGCTCTTGTTCCGCAACAAATGCATCAACTGCGTGAAAAAAACAACACGCTTGTGACTTCGCAAGGCTCACCCTACGCGGAAAACACACCTTTCTGAAACTGCCAAGGTCGACTCGAGCAGATATTGCATTGCACTCACTCCATCTCCAACTTCAATTGGCCTTCTAGGACGCGGAGAACAAATGTATACATTATGTGTTCAACATGCGGAAAAAACCCAATACCCGGACCCTATGCTTTCACTAAGGCTCCAGCGGAAATGCCATGCTCAGCTCCAAGCAGAGGGCGGGCTTCCCACTGCTTGACCATCCCCGTTTACAATCCGATCATGATCTGTGGTGACATGGAGATGGGATGTTAGGGATCTGTGATATCCAGGATTTGGTAGACGGTTTCAGATGCCCTGGATAACAAAACAAAACAAAATGAAGTCAGACTGATTTGATGCTCTCATCTTCAACTGCATGCAAATGCTGTCTGAAACCAACACAGCACCAATGCCATCTTGCTATCCATGCTGCTTGTGACCGAATTTGCAATAACATGTGAGGAATAAAGACTCTCAGCCTTTGGAACTGAATGGAACCGAAATGTGAAAATGTCCCAAAGGCTCCTGTCAAGAGGATATCATGTGCGTCTAAGTGCAAAGATACGTTTATATGATATAAATCATATCAAACCAAACATCAAGCCTTCATCAAGGAAAGCAAACAAACTGACTCAAACTCGGATGAAAAGAAGGTCCTGGGGCCAGTGGCCGAGGTGCAAAGAAGCGACAAAAAGGTGCCTGTGCAGCCAAAGCCATCTGCCGGGCCAACAGACTGTTCTCTGTGGACGCTCTCCAAAAGAAACAGGCTCCTAAAATCTGTCGTCCAATCAGAAGTCAGACCAGGATCAGAAATCGAGTCTAAGTCTACAGCTTTCGGCTCTTCCCAAAGTTCCCACTGCCCGGTCCATACTCCCACCACAGCTCCCAGCACCTTTTCGGCGTCTTTCCGAAGCCTTTCCTTTGGGTCTGAATTGCTGAGGGGGGAGGTGCGATTGCGCAAGGAGAGAGAAACGGAGTAACGTCACCTGCGACAGATACACATGAACCTTGGCAACCTCGGCCTTGGCAGAATCAAATTGTCTGCCTCCTCAGGCGTACGACCAAAGCATGGCAACCTGTGAAACCCTTGCAGAAGAGAGACATGGAAAGAAACCAGGTCTTCTCATTCTGGCCATTTCTGCCCAATCAATGCCTAAATGTGCCGAAATCATTGATTTTGGGTAGCTAAAGATGCTAAAGATTTGAAGTGTTTCGCGCGAAGCCGAGGGCGCAGCCCGGTGTCGGTCAGACTGGACAGAGAGAGAGGCGTGTCACAACGGTCACAATCCAAATCCGAATACCAAGAGATGGCAGTGACTGCCCGGACTCCAGCGCCTGACATCGTATTCCAAGACATCAACAAGCTGAGGGAGTTTGCATTCCCATTTTGAAGACCGAACCGGGGATGGGTAAAGACGTCAGAGCTTTCAAAGGATTTTCAAAAGGTGAACAATTCCAAAATGATGCAGGGATCTTTATTGTGCGAAGCTGCTGCTTGAGAGCCGTCAGTGGCCAAACTTCAACAGGGCACATGGTCACAGTATGTCGCTGTGATCCCGTCGCACCAAAGTTTTCAGCAAAGGTCAAGGCCGTCAAGGCACACCCAAGGTCACACTTCTCCCATTGCCGTCACAGCATCTTGTGAGTCATGTTTGGATCCAAAATCCAGGAGAGGAAAGTCCTCCACGCAAGGTTTTGCCGCAAAACTCAGGGTACAGCTCTTAAGTTGCTTACAGTTACTCTCACTCAGCTCTTACTAACCCACCAAAAAAACGGGGTGTGAAGGTTTCAGTTGCAGCTTCAACAGCTTGTCCACCGGTTTACTGATAGATTCAGCGACACTAATCTTGTGCTCAAACGCACCGACAAGCAGCTAGTCATAATTGGGGGACTTGGTGGGGTCAGAAAGAACAGACAACTTCGATGGCAGTCCGCCAAGTCAAAGTTCTTCCGGGCACAAGAACGCTTGTGTCGCAGCCAAAGGCCGTCACCGTGACATATAAGTTCATAAGATGTTCGACATCAAGTACTTGAAGGTTCGCGGCTGTCTTCAGCACCACGAAAGCAGCTCGCAGGCTTTATTCATTCAAAGTTGAAGGCAAAGGAATGACCACATCTGCCGCAATCTGCAAAACATGTTCTTTAATTCGCTTATGAGTCTAGTTTACATTGTTCTGTTTTTTTGTGTTTCGCAGAAAGAGGATTGAAACGTTTTCACGTTTTGCCAGTCAACCAATGGTAGAACACTTGTAGTAAATAGTGAATGTGACACTTGCAGAACACAGGTTCCTGTGCGTAAATCCTAAGGTCAACGAACACAAAGGCCAAATTGGCTCATATTTCAAGTCATGAACACATACAGTGCACATCCCACAGCAAGCACCTCTGACTGTTATGACTGTTATGACTTCTGCTGCGATTGCCTACTCCAACCGACGAGAGGAGCTGAGAGGAAGCTCTTCCCACTGCAACTGCCTCTCTTTCGCCGCTTGCGGCAAGAAGTTTCCGATTCGTTCTCTGCCTGTCACTTCATTCTCAGGAAAACGTCATTGGGCTGCAACGGTTGCGTGTGAACTGGGACACATCGGAAGCTTCACAACTTTGGTGTAAAACGAAGCTGCTTGCCTCCAGAATTCCACTGTCTAGGCTAAGCCACTACGCCGCATCTGGCACTGGAACGTTTAGAACGGAATTCTGCACGGAAGACTTTCGAAGCTGTGATTGCTGCCTTCGGTCCAAGCTTCTAGCACCACCTCCCTCTCTCACCGAAGGCAAAGTCAAGCAGATCATGAGCCTTGACGTGAAAATGCATTCTACTGCAGATGGAAATCTTGCATTGTAAGCCTGGTAAGCCTGGCCGAGTAGGCTGATAAGCAAACATGTTAGAAAAATGCATCTCTATCTGAGATCCAACCTCGCAGACCTCTGCCACTTGATGGAATTCAACCTTCCACTGCTATAGGAACTTGTTATTAAATTGCTCACTATGCAAATTTCAACCGAATCTCGTTGGACAAATCCAGGTTGCATACAACTACGCAAAGTTGCGTTTGACCCACAGAACCAACAGCTTATGGTTTTAGCATCCTGACATCTCAGCAATCTCAACAGACTCCACTTACACCACAAAGTATGCTTTTGAGTGCCACGACTGTGACATCCAAGTTTGTGCTTCAATCCCTTCACACAAAGAGACCGATGCTTCAATCTGGATCAAACATGGGATACATCGGATACAAGATGCGAGCAACGCGACAGGTCTTGGCACAAATCCTTTGATCTTCACATGGTGACGGAGTGGAAATCATATTCTTCCACTGCCCCTCAGGATCAAAGGCCGCAAGATTGGGGTGCACTGGGTACACTCCTCTGCCACCAAGACGCAAATGAAATGTGTGCGATTCTACCTGCGTCGTTAAGAAGCACACTTTACCACTTTTTTTCTCTGCTTTGACCTTCAATGCGGTTTTTCTCTTCCTGCGATGGTACACTTTATTGGACCGGTCAACTTTCAAAAGCGACTGTATCAGCATTCGTCCAAACGCTGATTCTAAGCTTCACGCGAAAGTCCGTTTTGCCTTTACATGCCCATACATCTCAAGTGTTCGAAGAAGGCTGAAAGTGACAAATGTGCAAAACGGCTGTATCGCAACTACTGCAATTGCAGAAGAAACATCCCGTGCCGCAGAATCGAATCAGCACAAAACAGGCACGGAATCAGGCATGGAAATATCATTCACGTCACTCTTCCCTACACAACAGAGGGATGGAGGCAGATGCTGTTTCACGCTTACTTTGAGGCTTCTCAATTGCCGACTGACCCGAACTTGAGGACTCTCACACCGGCCGGCGCCAGGCCGCCATACCCCCACCCACAAGGCCCCAAGGGCCATGCCACACCCATTCCTGGTACCCCAATGCGATGCCAAGCAGTCCTCTGGGATACAATACCTGGCCACTTCGCTGAGCGGGAAGTTCTTGGTGATGGCCGCAAGTGGGGCAGCGGTGGGGTAGGTCGGGTTGGGTGGAAAATGGGTAGATACTGTAAGTGGGCGAGCAAGTGGATAGTTGCATGGACCGGACAGTCAAAGAGATAAATGTATAGATGGGTACAGTACATGCATAGATCAACGGAGAGAGCTTTGTACTGTAAACAAATGCATATCATACCAAAAAACACATGTAATGTATGCAAATATCGAATCAAATAGGTTGAAGACGCATAGACTTGAGTATATGTGCACAGTGCATTGTCCCGTCAACATTGATCTGCATTCACATACGGCAAAAAGTTCATACAATCCAAGTATGTCATCTAAAGCAGTAATGATTGGCAGAATGCTTTCCAATTCTTTCTTGCATCTGGATCGGTCGATCGGGAGGGCCGGTCACCAATGCATCAAGTGATGAACTCATCGTTGTGTCCAACATCCTCATTCGTAAGAAATGACCAAGAAGGCACATCTTCGGGAGACTTCGACATAACAAGGGCATTTTCCAACCACCCTTATTCGCCGTAATATGCCATAATGATCCATAATGTAACACATTCACTAACCGTCTTTCGTTGCATTTGTGATGATTTGCGACCGTTGTTTTGATACTGTACTGAGAGGTGATGGCAAGATGGCAATATGTGCAAGCTCTTTGACGCTTATAATCTGACATCATGCCCAAGTCTGGTGCATAATGCATATATTTCAATTAGATCATTGGTCACGACCCCACAAGTGTATCAACTCTCACTTTGTAATCCCCCTTTTTTTGTGATTCCATGACATCCCATGTTTTCCAAGTTTGGCCTGCCGTTAAACCATGTCAAGCGCATGGGTGAAGTGTTTCTGAAAACGTTGAATGGGTCGGTGTTACGGCACTCAGTTCGGAGACAACGTGTTTGCGTCATCGAAGACACGATAACATCCACTCTTTTTTACTCGTTTGTGAGCGCGGAATATTCTAGCTCCGGCAGATCGGATACGCTTTCGACCAGCGGAGACACCCGTAGATTCGCAAAGAATTTGCAGCGGATAGTGTGAATCTGTGTCACCTGCTCGCAAACGAAGATCAGGATTAACGGTGTTACTGATCTGCTCGATCTTCTTGGTGCGAACGTCCATGGGGTCATCGTCATATTGCAAATGGACACACACCTGGACATCGCAGTCCTTGGAGAAGAAAACAGTGTAGTCCACAAGGGCGTTGGAAGAGTCATTTTTCAACACATCCAAAGTTTCCTGCAGAAAGCTTTTCGATTTCCCAGGAAGTTGCAGTTGCTGAACAGTCTTATTACCGTCGCCGCCAGCGAAAACGACCCGGTGGTGGATGGCGTCGCGGAATGAGCAGCCTTATTGTCATAGTGGAAGCTTAGGACGGTAAGCTGCTCCCTCCCACAGTAGGTAACAGGTCGCGCACCGCGCTCCCAAGCCACACTGACGATGAAATAGTGCAGAATGGTAGACGCATTGCCTTCAGCCCAAGGTGACGATAAACGCGCTCCTGAAAGGATCGTATGACGGTGGAATGATGCGCCACGCTGAAGAACTGCAAGGTCTGGAATGTCCGGGTGCTTAATCGCACAGATATCGTGGCCCCGCAACCTTTCTGTCACAAGTTGATCGATCAGTGTGTCTGCGTGAGTCCTCTCTCTAAGTCGAGGGACAAAGGTAGGTAGAGGAACCGCTTTACACGAGAGGTGACCCCTGCTTCACATGGTGCTTGTGCACCTTTCCGAACCGTTGCCATCTGGAACCTGCGAACTGCTTTGGTCCCCAGGTCGCCTCGGATTCGTACTTAAAGGTGAATCCGGCTTTCTCGTAGCAACGGATGGCACGGTGGTTCGCGGCTAAAACACTAAGCTCTACCGTCTCACAACACCAGCCAAGTCCTTGGTTCGATGTTGATTGCATGACCTGTCTGTTCGTCAGCACTGAGCCGATGTGAAAGTTTTTCATAACGGTCTTCCTTGTTGTGTCTTGTTTTGAACTTCAACTGGTTTGAGCTGCAGTTTCAAAAGCAGGCTAGAACGCTCAGTACCCATTCCCCTTCATCCTCCTTCCAAACATCTAGCAAAACACCGGAAATGTGTTTGGAGAAGCTCTGCCACTGCCGAAAGAGCTAAATGTGTCTTTTCTGACCGAAGGCTTCCAAGCCCCAAAAGGCCAAACAGCTACTTAGAGACAACAATGAAATATGTCATGCTGTGCCCTGATTTCGTCCAAGCAACTTTGATATGGTTTACGTTCAATGCGTTGTCTTCCTCCGAGAGCGTGCAATGCACATACCCAGCGATCAACTTGGTCTTCTTGTTGATCGCGGGTAGGGTGAAGTGGTCGGGATTTGCACCCGATAAGACTTTCTGGCAGCGGTTCGAAGCAACGCGATTCTACTTCACATGTCTCTTCCATGTCTCTTACGACTCTGCACAGCCCCAGACACTTGTGACACGTGACTCGTCTAGCTTGACACTTGAGACACGCACATCGCAAAACCGACTCAACTCCGATTGATGCGGGTCGGTTTGCCGGTCGACGCCTCAATCCCTCGAACGGGAAGCTCCACTTCATCGGGCAGCACGCCCACGGATTTCGACCATTGCTCATGGGTGAGCTTCGCGAACCAGGATTCGTCCTTCATCAGCCTCGTTTTTTTTCACAACTTCGCAAAGCATCACCTGTAGAAGGTAGCAGTGGAAGGCTAGCAGTAGGCGTCACACACAACACACGAACTTGCAACCGAAGCCACTTGGCATGGTCAACAACAAAGTTCTTTTCCAGAACCCGAAGTTTTGCTGCGGCAATGGGCGATGAAACTTTGACAATAGAGTATTCGCCCTCGGACTTCAAGACATCCTTGTCAGGCAACTGTCACGCCATCTTTTGCCTCACACTCATTGTAAACATGCAACAGAACTCGGGGACCAGCAGCCAGGTACGTGGTCGATGAAAAAACACCAACGGACGGAAGGGTGGTTTCTATCCAGATTACCATGGGTATTACCCACACTGAACTGTCACCCCCGATGCACCTCGCACGGCAAAGTCTCCACAAGTCAAACACGAATGCAACCGTTGCAACCTTTGCCATCCAAAAAACGTGTTCTGGCGATATTTCCGAATTGGTTGCAAAACCGCAACTCGAACCCATTCGGCCCCGTCCTTTTGCTTGAAGTCCGCCGTCTCGATCTTCGGGTGACGCATGGGCCACTCATCGGCCCATGCTTCCAGTTGCTCGAGCGCACTCCGTGGGCGCTTGCTGCGTTGTCCAGGTTCACCTTGTCGTGACGGTCGCAATGGTTGGCACGGCCAAAAAACGTTGACGTTTCAACCTGGGCATGCCTGGGCAACCTCACGTGTTGGCATGTCTGGCAATCCCTGCTCTAGAAGTGTCCTGGCCTTCGGTCACTTCCAGGCGCCTCTTTTTTCGGGCCTGAGTACAGGCATGTGACATGTGCAAGCAAAGAATCAGAGCGCGCACAAGCTCTTGCACAGCTATGCATAGCTCTTGCTGAACTCGTTCGACTGTTGCTTTCTTTCACGCGTCTTTTCGGGTCGAATCCGGTTCGTGCGACAGGCCGGAGGAGGCCAAGTCAGACAGAGGGCACCGTACTCACGAGCGTGCGCACGCTACCTCTGCTTCCATCACTTCGTGTACCTAATGAGTATTAATGAAGTCACTTGATGTCACTTGATGCGTGGATGGTGCATGTGTTGTGAGTCCACTCGACCAGGACCAGGGCAGTTTCAGATCACGTCAGGGCCGAGGACGGATGGACTTGGACTCCGCGGCGGTTGGACACCCCTTGGACACGGAGACCATCACGGAGCCCATCTGGGCCAACGTCGGACCCGGCGCTCGGAGCGAACCCGGTGAGCAAGCCATGCGACGGCCGTCGCCTAGCGGGAGTGGACTCGCCTAGCGAGAACGTCAGACCGATCTACGAACTGGGGAAGCGATCTGAAAAGGGAACCACCGAATGGTCCGAGGACCCTTCAGACGAACCACGAGTGGAAGGGCAGTCGACTCCCCACAAAGACTTCGCCCCCGCGCCTCCTGGAAGACGGTGCACAGCTCCGAGGCCGAGGCCGCGGTGAGGACGCTTTGCTTCTTGTGGTTCACGACCTGCCCCCGGACGGGTCCGCCACACGACGAAGGGGAACGGCGTAGCGAACCCCACGAGAAAAGGCTCGAGTCGAGCTATGAATCGAAAACGCGAAAAACGCAAACTCTTGAAACCACCAGTTGCATGAAACAGAACCAAACAGAACCTGCAGGTTTACTGCATCTTCCCAGTACAGACGACCCCTACGTCCCATGTTCGAAGTGAACAAATGTCTGTCAGCCGCCATGGTTCAGAATCGCTGCTGCCAACATGGGTGCGTCAATGGTTGAACAAGCCTCGAAGTCTACTCCATGGTCGAGCAGCATCTCCACAGCCGCTACTCTGGACCGCTTCACCGCGTAAAACAACCTCAAACAAACAAACGACACCAAAAAAAATCTGAAGCAAGTCTAAGGCAATGGAATAGGAAAGAGTGCTGCCACTCTATTTGAACCCTTGCACCAAGCCACGCGGTCTCGCCGAACTTGTCAATTGTGTTAATGTCGGATCTGCTGCAAACAAGAAAATTGCACGTGTGCACGTGCCCTTGGCGAGCCGCATAGAACAGCGCGGTCTGGCGATTGTCCTCAATGTCCAAGGCAAAAAGTACGACACATATCGCAATAATAGTACCTGCAACACGTTTTCTCCCTGTCTCTCTTTCTCTGCCCTCCCTCCAACAAGCATGGAAGTGGACAACGAAAATGGCCTTTCCAGTGCCATTTTTCACTTCCATGAACAATCATGACTGTTGGAGGGAGGGATATACATAGCACATCTCTCTCTCTCTACTTACAGTATGTCTTTTCTGGCCCCTGTGTCAGCCCAAGAGCATCCAACTGGTTTAGCGGGACTCCAGCCCGAAGGAGGGTGTCACAAAGCTCCAGGGCCTCTGCAACTTCACTGTGCTTTCAGCAAGGAGACTTGGCCAATGGATAAAAAGCTACGTGGCTATGCGTGGCTACGCGTGGAATATGTCACCACATCAACACCTTGATGCCAAATACGCGAAAGCAAACCTATTTGGCGCTGCAATGCTTTGCATGTTGCTTTCTTGTCATCAAAGAACAACGTCTGCGCTGCCAATGACACATAATGACACCAACCTTTGCCGCCTCTTCATCTTCTCCGTACCGTGCGGCAGCAAAGAACGGCAAAGTCTGCTGCATGACGGTCTTCATCTGGCCTGGTACAGTGTAACAGGGAGTGCTTACTGTAAGCACGTACCCAGGCGGACATCCTTTCGAAAGCTGCACAAGTAGATGCGGCTGAGGTGCATTGGTGTGACGCAACTAACGCGGCCACATGCTGCCGCGCCTTAAAGAAGGGAGCGTCCTTAGCATTCGCACTCAAGTGTGAACGGGACATACTTCACATGGAAGAAAAGGAACAAACAAGGATGCGTTCGCCTAAACCTTGCTGTCTTTGGGAGATGTCAGCGAATTCGGCCCGAAACAACGGGGCTGGACCCATTTCCGTTGTTGCACAACGACGACGACGATCGTGTTCGAAGAGCAAGCGCTGAAAGCAGTGAATCCGAGTAGCCCGCACGGTCAGAAACATGTCATCGTTGATTGTGACGGGCGCACGCCGGACTGGCATGGTGCACTCTATCCAATCAACGGAGTGCGGGCAAGCGCTCCTTGTACCCAATCAGCTGCGGGAGACTATTTTCAGAAGCTTCCAAGGGGGTCGAACTGGGAGAGCTCCATAATATGGAAGGTTGTCCCAAAACAACCCAAAGCCACTTTCCAGGATCCTAATCATCACGCGTCCTAGGGGTCTTGAGAAGGAGAAGAGGCCACAAGAAAACGCTTTCTATCCCTTTGAGATCGCTTCAAGGCGGTCCCCTTTCATTCCCTTCAACTCCACTCCAAAACCGTGGATTCTTGCCACATGTGGCATGCTGAAGATCCTTATTTAAAATGCCGGTTGAATAACGCCAAAATCGTTGGACTCAAGACTTTAATTGAAAAACTGTATTTGAATCCTTCCGTTCTTTTTTTGGCTCCAAGGTCGACGCTCAATTTTCTTGATTGAGATTCCGTCGTGTTAAAATCCTCGGGCCGACGTTTTGTTATAATCCTTTCCCAACCCTTGATGATCGCATCTGATACACCGGGCCCTCGAACAACGAAAAACATCCGGTGTGTCCCGAAATCGGTGCACTTTGTACAAAGGATCAAGAAAATGTCCCAAAATCGAGCCCTTTACAAGGCTCTCTTTTCACCAAAAAACAGATATATTTAGCCTGAGAAGGGAGGGAACGAAAGCCAGCAGCCGCCAGACGAGAGGGTCATTTGCTACATAGCAAAAGGTTCGGGAGAAGGTTGCGGGGAAGGTCCATGAGGAGGTTCTGGAGAAGGTTCCGGAGCAGGTTCCAAAGCAGACAAGGCTCCAAAGGAGGGCTTGCACAGCGAAGAGACTGTCTCAGTGGCGCTTCTTGCTGTTGGGGACTTTCCTTGGGCTTACGCCACTGATCCGCCCAAAAATAAATCATACGTCGCAGCTACACCCTCTTCCCAGAGACATAGAGACACAGAACCATAGAGACATAGAGACACAGAGTCATAAAAAACAGAGACATTCAACACAGAGAAGTTGCTATCTACAGGGGGTCCTTTTCTGATAGCAACTTGTCGCTGCCAATCAACAACCATACTTGCGCCAATACATACAGCCAGTATCTATCTATCTATCTCTTCTCTGGCGTGACAACCGCTTGGTGCCCAAATCAGCCATGTTCCACAAAGTAGGAATTCCTTCCATTCTGAGGGTCTTCTTCTTGACCTCCAACTGCATCCACAAATATCTTGCGTCGATGTGCTTGAGGCGGCCGACACCGAGCCTTTCTGTGAAAGCTCTGCATGATGAGCTGTCTGTGATGGTTTTGATCATCACTTCTCTGGATGTTAGGAATTGCCACAGCTCTTTCAACTGCAATGCCTCGGCTGCCCCACCTGCGGATGCAAGAAACTCAGCCTCACATGAAGATAGAGCTATGCTCTTCTGCGACCTCGACCAGGCTGCCACCAAACATCCATTCAGGAAGATCATCACGCTGCTTACACTGTGCCTTCTTCGCTTCTGTGATGACCGATCTCCTGCCCAGTCGCTGTCACTCCAACTTTCCAACTCATCAACATCACTCATACTGTCTGGTTGGAGAAGAATCTCTGCTTTCTTGCTCTTGTACTTCGTGTAGGGAAGCAAAATCCCATACTGCTCTGTCCTCTTGAGGTAGAGAATGAGATGTTTCAATTCACTCTCTGCTTTCTTGGTGGGATTGGCCATGAACTGGCTCAAATTTCGGACAGAGTGCTGGATGTCAATCCTGTCCTGGGAGATGTACAAAAGCGTTCCAAGTGCCGACCGGAATCGATGCTGATCCCCACCTGTCAGCACATCTTCAGGTGAGCCTTCCAGGTCCATCTGGGTGCTTTCTGCTTTGCCTGCCCTCTGGGACAGGTTGTACAGCTCAATGAGTCCTGGCACATACTTCTCATGTGGTGCAATCACAATGCCTTCAGAGGTGAAGTAGTGGCGTTTCTTCAGGCAACGAACAGGTTCTCTGGCATCTTGATCAGGTTGTGGGAGTGTGCCTCATTCACTGATCACCAATCTGTTTCTCATGCTGTCCAGAAACCATATCAAATCATCTTCTCTTCCTGCCACTATCAGGTCATCTACATGACACACCATGCCCCGGCGTTTCTCTTTGTGTCTGAAAAGTGATGGTAGGGAAAGGTGATTTTCCATCCCCAACTCTTCGAGAGCCACCTTCAGGTAGTCAAACCAGCGAGACGCTGCATCACGTTGACCTGGCAAACATCGAGCCAATCTCCAATACCTCTTAGCTCCATTTGACGCACCTTCAAGCTCCTCAGGCTTCCACCAGGCAGGTTGTTCCACCAACACCAGCTTGGTTTGAGGAACCAACAAAAAGGCATCTTTGACATCGATGAAGCTCAACTTCCACTGCAAAATGGCATGTGTTGCCAAAAGAAGCCTTGTAGCTGCCAAACTTGAAGTTGGAGCAAACGTCTCTGAAGTGGTCTGATCATGACCTCGGAATTCACGGGCCACAAACCGACACCTTCTTTTCCATCTTCCATTTCGAACTCGCCAGTCAAAAACAGACCTTGTCGTGAGAATACTGCCATTCTCAAGATCTGAACTGCTTGGCTCTTTTAGCACCTCCATCTCTAGCAGCCTCTGTATCTCCTCTTGTCCTGCTGCAGCCTCAATCTTCTCCAGCTCCTCTGGCCCCACCTCAGGTGGAGTTCCCTCATCAAGCACTTCATCTGAGAAAAGTCCTTCTTCTAGCAAGAGCATCTCCTCATCACCTTCAAACTCTGCAACCTATTGCTCCCATTGGAACTCATCCACAGGCCGTTCCTCCACCTGTTGGATTCCACCCGCAAAATGCGGTGCATACAAAGAAGTAGGGCTATCTGCTGGACTTGTTTTGGGTGCTTTTGTTCTGCTTTCTGTTGCTGCACTGTCATCCACCATCTGTTCATGCTCATCAGCGGGACGAGGGCGTTCAGGCGTTGTTGGTGCACGTTCACCTACATTCTTTCTCTCTTCATCCAAGCCCAAAGGTAGTGGAGGCACGCGAACATACTTCTCTGCTGGTTGTTCTTCCAATTCTCCTTCAGCAAAATGCTTTCGACCGCGCCCATGGCTTGGCTCTTCTGGCTGTGGGGTTCCTCCTGGATGTTCAAGTCCTCCAAGAGACTGTTGACCTGTTAGCTCAAGCTCTCTCTCAGCATCATCCAACTGATCTTTCTCACGAGCCTTGCCGGGGCCTCTCACGGGTCTTGGCACCATAGGTGTAGAAGGCAAAATCCTCATCGGCCTCCTCTGGTGAGGGTTTCTGAAAGGCTTGACCTTCACCATGAACAAATAGACTGACCGCCAGGGTTCGCTGGTCCGTCGAATTGCCTTTCCTCTCATCACCCTGTCTCCAGAAACCACTAGGTGTAGGTCTTCTTCATTGGTCTTTCCAACCCAAATGCCGGGTAGCCATTGTGGGCCTTGTTTAACTCCTGGTTGGCGCTGAAGAACCATGACATACTCACCAAAGCAAACCACTTTGCCTGCATACCTTCTTCCAGTAGCCAACTCAAAAGGGGTTGCCTGCAAAGCACGATGGGCAGAAAAACCTGTTGATCAGCCATGCTGAGTGCAAGTACACCCATGACCACAAAGGATGACTTCCATCCAAAGAAATGAGGCACTTCTCCTCGGCCATGTGCATCAGGCATGAGGCTTGCCTTCTCAGCGTCTGAATTGCTCGTTCCACCTGACTTGTTTGGCCTTTCTTCTGAGAGTTGGTCACTGTCGTCTGAAGACCTAAGCTGTGCCTGATTGTCTGGATGTAGCTCAAAAGGTTTCTCATTGTCGGTTCATTGTCACCGATGATCTCCACATTGCCATATTGGTTGAGCAAAAGCGAGAATCTCACAACATGTTCTGCCTGTCCTCGAAGATCGCTTCCTTTGCCTTCAACTGGCACTGCAAGAAGCATTCTTGTCTCAGAGTCAACTCCCACAAGTATTGTAGTCAACTCAGCTTTGCTATTGCCTCCAGACCTTCCATAGGCATAGTCCAACTGAATTGAGGAGACGTTCCTCCTCCCTTCAACGGAATGGTCTAGTACTCGTTGATGGTCATCTCGAGCCTTCGTGGCCACACAGAAGTCACACCAATCCCTGTAAGGTAGGTGAGTGAGCTCATGAAGCTCTCTCTCTTCTTGGCTCGGCTGTCTGGGAATGTTGACTTGAATCACTCCCTTCTGCTTGGCCTCCTCCTTGTAGAGCTTGTTAGCTGCCAGGAACAATTCCTCATACTCAAGCTGCTGGACTTTCTGGTTCAGGCGGTTCCACAATGCTTTCTTTGAGCCACCTTTGTTCAGCCCCAAGTAGTCAGCTGCTCCTCTGAGCAAAGACAAAGAGCTGTTCGCATCCAGCTCCAATCCATTCACAACGAGGCTGTCACGATTCTCTAAAATGGGAATTGGGCCTTCCCAAGTCACACCTGAATCTTGTTGATCTACCTCCTCTGCAGCTTGCTCGTTCTCCGGTTGCAGCTCATACGGCACCAAAGGCTCTGAACCAAAGTGAAAATCTTCGCTTTCCACATTCACACCACCTGAAGTTGCAGTTGTTTCTCCAATCACAGTCCCAAAGAACTTGATGGGTTCCTTTGTCTTGTGCAGGACTGTCAAGACTTGGGTCTCTTCGCCATTGCACTCTGGAATTTCTCCTTCTGGCTCCTCCAGTGCGAAGTATCGACAGCAATGCTCAACAAGCTCCCATGAATCATCCAGCTTTCGAATGAGCGTTGACCTCAAAGGCCACCAATTGATGTTCCACATCAGCTTGGCATTTTCGAAGCACTTGCTGGAGTAGTTGAACTTAAATGGATTGCCATCAGGTCCTGTCTTCCAGGCTCTCAATCCATAGCTCTCCCAAAAGAAGTCATGGAGCTTCACCACCGTTTGAACAATGAGGACATCATTGTCATCACGATTCCTCAACTCTGGCAGATCTCCTTGCACTTCACCTGGGACTTGATGCACTCTGTTGATAGTGCCA